GCAGCAACAAGTAATTTAGAACGGAGAGAAACGGTATACTCGCTATTGCTATATGTGTGAATAATACACATCCCGACAGGATAAACCGATTCATCGAGAGATTATTGTACATCTCGTCTTCTGAAGGAGGATAGCTGGATCGGGATTTATATTTTACGTTTTGACACAATTTCCTTCCCTCATGAATGTGTTTATTCCTACCGAATGTAATTGGTTGATAGCTCAGTACAGAAGAAAATAACTTCAATCGATTCTCTTTTATACAAATACATATTTCTAAAATAAATATTTGAACTTTGGATTATTAATCGTCTTTCGATTTGTAATTCTATTATTTTAATTTTGTAACGTTTTATAAATCAATATAATTTTATCGGAAAACTCTATTATATTACCTCTATAATTCTATAATTATAGTTCCAAATTCTACATCTAAACATAGTTTCTATAATTATAATTCCAATTCTACACATATTTAAGTAGCTTTATAATATTCCACAGCTTTACAATTTCATAATTGTCTTTTCAACTTTAACTACATAATTCCCTGTAATTTTCTGTGATAATTTAATAATCTTCAAACTTTTTAGAATCCCTATATAATCGTATAATTTTTTATAACTTTATAAGTCTCTATCACACACACAAATCCATGGTTCATAAATTACGGATTCCGTTTCCGTCGGTTAATTTTAACTGACCCGAATCCGGTGTGAGATGGCTAAAGATTGACCAAGATGCGCGTCTTTTCATCCCTGAAAAACTCACTTGACGTCTCCCTGATCCTTGTATCCCCGCGCTGCCGACACGCGGCTGAAGAGTAGTCGCGCCAGATTGTCCAGCTTGTTCGCCAGCTGATGGCCCTTGTCATCCTCGCTCTCGTTCTCATCCTCCGTACTTACGCTGCGACCTCGTCGCAGCGAACCCCGTGCCGCGCTCATCGCCCTGGCGTTCAGCTCGGTGGCACTCTGGGTCCTGCGATTGACGGCACGGCGGCGGCGACGAGAGCTCGAGTGACCAGTACGATGTTGACAGAATCTGTCATGACCGGTCACTTCCGACTCGCGATTCCGTTGTCCGTCACTGTCATCCTTCTTGTTTAGACTCTGATAGAGATTGAACATCGTTGCGTCGCAATTACTTTGGCAAGTACTGCTATTTAATCCCGGTGCAACCTGAAATCAGTTTCATCACTCTTTTAAGTCTTATCCCCGAAAAAGTACTTTGGTGTCACAAAGTGAATTACTTTGCTTTGATCCGCAAAATCTCACTATTTTCATGCTTTTACGTAAAATTAATACGTAAATATTTAACGCGAGATTCTTACATATTTGTACAATGTTTAATAATAATCATTAAAAATAATTAATGTCGGAGTCTTCTATAATTTTTTCAAATGCAAACAATTTTCATTTAAACGAAATTTAATCTAATTCGTTAATAGTATGAGATTTTTACAATGATAGACTGGCCGTGATAGACACAAAAGTTCATTTTCATCGTTGTAAAGATAAAACTGGTATTATTAATTGTATATGTTATCAGGAGTAAATATATTTCTTGTATTATTTTATTGGGAATGTTATTTCAATTTCGTTGTGAAACGATTTTTCTGTGAAAATGTCAAATGTCATATGTGTAATATTGATGAGAATCGCTTAATTTTTAAAAACAAAATATTTTCAAGAGAAGTTATATAATTTAAAAAGTAATTAGTCGCGTTAAATTATTTTTATATTCCGAATTTAAAGACATTTAACATATTCCAAATTCAAAAACTTGAATTTTTTTTTCATGCAATATTTATTCTATATTATATATTATAAGTATTCTTTCACAAATAATAGAGAGAAAAATATATATGCATGCAGCTTTCGGGATTTTTAAAGGATTTATTCCTCTGCATTATAAAAGAAGAATGGAAATAAAAGGGAAGAAGTTCGATCTTATGTCATGGAACGTGTTGTCGATAAAAATTCTTTTAACAAGCTTTACAAACTGTCGGATTTTTCCTCTGACCTTTCTCGATCTAATTTTGCAATCGAAGCAAATTATTGCGAGTCAACGTCGCGAAAGATACACGCGAATGTATTATTAAGAACGGACTTGTCCTGCTATTAATACCGTTCTCAAGATTTTCCAGATCGATATGAAGCGAATAAACGTGTCCACTCGAGATACCAATCATTTGTCAGCGTACACAGGAAACTCTATCACAAGATTCTCAAGTCTCACTTGCATATCGTGAAACCTATTGGATGTGGAGAGAAAAGTGTCATAAAGGAAGATAGCGTTTCTCTTAATATCTATTCTCGAGAATATTATATGATCGAATTATTCTTACAGAAGTCCTGCTCTTTGTGATATATTTTTTTTGCATATTGCGGCTACTGTTCTATATACAGATATACAAAAAATTGAGAGTATTATAGACATAAAATTGTTTTTATAGCAGAATATTGATCGTTAATATAATGTTACCATCAAAACAACTTTTTCTCAAGTTAGTATATAGCTATTCAAGAAGTATATTGATCGCTCAAGATAATTAACGAGTGAAATAGTGCAAGTATTATTGCGTCGGGCGATCGTACTTATTAGATTTTCTCATGATTTCCTAAAATTTTGTTTTGTATTAAATCAATTAATATAAATAATAAATAATTTCAGCAGAATTAATAAATAGTAATAATAATAACTGATATTAAAATCGTTAAGTTTGTTAATATTATTTCCTCAATATTTTTTATTATTCATATTCGTTGATTTATTAATTCAATTAAATCATTGTATATACTAAAGCAAGTCTCTTGTTAATTCTGTACGCTTTATGTTGAAATGTACTTAATCCAAATCGTCTAAATTGATACAAATTAATTTGTCATTTACCTTTAAAATACGTAAATCGCTGCTGGATATTGAATTTTCTTGTGAAACGATTCGACGCGAAATATCACAGAGAATCTCGGTTGGTCCGCAGAATAGTTGGTCACTGAAATCTCTGCGCGTGTGGCGCTATCAGGAATGCTTAAAAATATAATACAAAAAAATATGAATATCTTTATGAATTAAATTAATTTAGAAAAAAGAAAGATGTATTCAGTTTTCTCTTATTTAAATTATATTTAAATCAATTTAATTTACAAAACATTTTGAAATGATAAGAATATGATAACATAAATAAATATAAATTAAAAATAAATTTTATTAAATATAAATAAATTTAATAAAATGTTAAAGAAAGTATAAATAATTTGATAAAATGTTAAGAAAAATTTAAATGTCATTATAAATATTTTATAATTTATAATAATTGTTCACAAGAAAATAAAACGTACTTCTGTAGTATCAGGATGTTATAATATGACTTATAAGTATCCCTTATCCGTTGCTCAGCAACGAAAACGCGATATACACTGTGGATTAAGTCAATAATATATTCCACATTTTTAAGGAAAAAAAAGTCATATAAATATATAAACCTTTCATTTTTTTAATACATAAATTTCTTTTTAGATATATAAATTTTTGAGACTCAAAAGAAGAATATAGCCATAATTAAAAATTAAATTATAAAAAGATTTTAGGGATATTCTAGAATTATTTTAAATGATAATCTAATAAGCGTTTTAGGTCATGTTCTCTGCAAAAGTACTTTTATTTTTCCATCCCCTTCCGTCTGAAATCTTATGAGGTGGAAAACAATTGAATTTTACTACTTCGATAAATAAATTGGTCTCTCCGTACCGAAGGAATTGAAATCGTGACGATCCACTGTGACTTTTCCAAAGCAGGTACAACGTACTCAGGGGAAGCCTCCGAGTTTCCTCGCGGGTTATCGACCCCGCACGGGGTTGTGTAGGCAGTGTATAGCGCGCGAGAGGATTCCGACGATACGCGGGGTGCCCGCCGCGGCGAAATCGCGACGCGCGATTCGAAACGAAGACGCGTGGGTGGAGACGGCGCTCGGCGGTCTCCGCCGAGCAACGGGGCTGGGTGGACACTGATGAGAGCGCGCGATCCCGGAGACGGCGGTCGGGTGGTGGGCCGCGACCGACCCGGCGCGACACAGATTCCGTTCCGCGCAACCACCCTCCCGCACCTCGCCTTTACGAGGACGTAAGGTAAATGCACGGACGGCCGGATATCTGACGCGGAAAGTTTGGCAACCTGTGGACACCCCAAGTTGTGAAGAAGATTCGTATGACGGATATCTCAGAAAGCCTTTTTCCTTTCGTCCTAAATCCGTAGAGTGGCTCACGTGAACTCGACGAAACTAACGATTCTCGTCGCAACCAATGAAAGGCGTTTCCGAAGTGTTGAAATGAAAAGCTTCTGAAGATAAAACAAACTTAGGAGTTTTCTGATGACCGATTGTATCAATTTTGACAAGTAAAATTTATTGTTAGTCTCGCTTGAAATAAATAGTGCAAGAAAATAATCGTACGAAAAAAATATTAACGGAATAAATATATATACGAGTATATATGACTATATATCTGCCGTACAAATTATTACATTTTTTTATAGATATTTTTAATTAAACAAATTGTACAAAAAAAAAATAAAATAAAATTCCGAACACGTGCACGAGCTTGCACGCTCGGGTTATCCCGCATTTTTGTTTGAAGATTCTACGACTTTAATACCTGCAGTTTTAAGGCTGCTTTCAGGGACAGTAAATCTATCTGAGAAATCCTAAATAATTTAGAAATATCTAGCGTTATTCTTACATCGCACGCGAGTATATAAAATTATATGTACAATCGCCTCATATTATATAAAATTATATATATAAAGAGAGAAATAGAGAAAAATTAAACCTCTTTTTATTAAATTCTTTATATTTAAATACTTTTATAATACCTTCTTAAAAATATATCTTTTGGTATAGAAATAGCTTTTTTAATTTTTTATATTATAAAATAGAAAAACACAACATTTGTACTTTTATTTCTTCATCTTTCTATTTCGTAACATTCAAAATGTAGATAAATTATCTTGTTTTTCTTCTCACTGTTCGTCCTCAACTACAATTTTGTATTGCAATTTCCATTTCTTTATAGAACAACCATATATCTGCAATTCATTTTTTTTTATTTATACACATATAACATTACATGTACCATTGTATTCTATTTCTGATAAAAAAAGAAAAAATTCTGTCTATTATTAAAATTTCTTTAAATTTCAATTTACAAATTTTAAAAACAAAATAAAAACAATAAATCATAAGAACTTTTTAAATAATACTTAATATTAATAGAAATATATATTGAATACATATATGGTAATCATTTTATTATTATTCTTTTTCTAAAATATTTATATTACATATTTTTGTACTTACATCTGCCACAAATTGCAAAGCAGAACGATAAGTGAACTCACTTTTCGCACGAGAGCCCCATGTCAATTCAAAATCTGTTGGATCATTCTTATTTATCATTGTTTTCTCAAGATATCTCTGATTTATAAACTCCTATATATGATTAAATATCGTTAAAAAATCAATTATAATGATTACATAATTTGCAAATCAGTATTGATTTTTACCACTGTCACCAATTGTTTAACATCGCCAAAGTAGTCATGTGGAAAATTATTATCAGTTATAATACCCAGATTTTGAAGGAAGTCCCACAGTATTTCTGTGGAAAAATATTTCATTTTATTTTCAACATTAACTTATTAAATAGTTTCTTATGAACATTCAATATACTATTAATATCACAAATCAATATAGCAAATATATATTAGACATTATATAAATGCTTAAAAAACAAAAATCACCTTCTTTGCATGATTCACCATACATAAAAATATGAACAAGTACAAGATACAACAGCACCTGTTTGTGATTATCATTGAAAGTGAGATGCGGAAGATCATTTTCTATTTCATTCACCAATATATATTTATTGCCTTCAACTTCTATTAAGCTGTATCCAAATACCTTTCAAATATCACAATTTATATGTGAAATTGTTAATCTTATAAATGCAATTCTATTCTTAAAATGATTTACTTTGTAAGAACAATTAAGTAATTACATAAACAACAATAATTAGTATTCATAAAGTAAACAAACATACCTCGGACAGTTGTGTATTTACTCTGTCTATAAGAGAACGGAACACTTTGGTATTTCCACCTAATACATTTTTTATAATGTGCGATTTCTGTATAGGTAACTTGTTACGATCTGCTGTAAGAAGGTATCTTATTATAGCACTGATTAGTTGCGTTTCTTTTTGTGTTTCCATATCTTGTGAACTCATGGTTTGTGAATCCATGATGGACGAACTTCTAGTACGTCGTAATGATACACTGGCCTGGCTAGCCTGAGTGGCTTGGCTGCTTGGACCAGGATAGTCTTGGGATAAAAACATATCTTCGCTACTCTCTCTCATGTTGCGATTGTTACGGGATCCTCTTCTTCTACCTAATAAATACATCAATTTTTATTCACTGTATAGAATATAGGTTATAACAACTGCTTCGTAACTTAGAAATGGAAGAAAGACATTATTTTACACACGAAAGATATACATTTTTCTCTGAACTTCTTTCTGTCTCTTTTCTTAGATATACAATTTTAAACGTGAATAGTTTCATTAAAAAATAGAAAATAATACACATATTTCAAACTACAAGTACAATATAAATGTATTCTTACTCATTTCAGATGATTTCAGACTGGTCACACGAATATCACTTTAGAAATAAGTTTTCACGTGCTTCGTGATAGCTTAAAAGAAATCTATTATTCAATAATACTGTGTGTGGACATAAAATAAAGTATTTCGAATAAATATTCTTTTATAAACAATCAAGTGCAAACACAGCCATATGTAATCAAGTATCAACTGATGAAGATGTTGAAGCAGATGGATTAATATTAAATCCGTTCAGTGGCGTCTCCATGTGTATAAAATCATGAATTACGTAGTCAACTCATAAGATAATATCCACAAGAGGTAACACATTCAAGGACCTCGCGGTTTGTTTTGTATGCGTACACTAGTTGTTTGGTTCTATTCCGTTCTATTATATTCTAAAACAATATTATAAAATAATTACAATTTGTGCAAAAAGGACTAGCAAAATTGCAGAACAAAAATCTAGAAAATCTTTGGAGAGAGAGAGAGAGGGGGGGAGGAAGAGGAGGAGAAAGAGGGAGAGGAGGAAAGAGAGAATATATATATATATATAAATATATGTATATATATGATCATTTTATGCAAAGAACTATATAACACATATACTATAATAAGATATATATGTGTATTCAAATAAAGAAAATGGTATGCAAAATAATAAGTTTTAATGTAAATAATTAGATTACTGGTACAGTGCTTATAACGGTACATGTGCTTTATTATTAATATACATAGATATAGATATATTAAATATTATAAAAATTGTGAATGATTATCCGATTTTTGTAAAAAATATATACACATATACGACAATTTCATATTCTGATCATTATTTTGTGTTTCTCAAAAATAATAGATTATTACAATTCGACGTAATCGTCTAGTAATCCGTGATCACATGTTTAATTTACACCTAAAACTATTATTTCCGTATTTTTATTATAATACTCACTTCGAAAATTATAATTCTTTTCTGAATTTATATTAATTTGTATTACCCCTATATTCCACCGTGCTATGTGTATGACATAATAAAAAAAAGTGATGAATATATGACTCTCGAAAACTGAAAGTCGCGCGTATAACTTAATTGAATTTAATTAAACATAGCAAATATATGTTGTTACATATATGTTAGCTGACATCATATCCTTATTATTAACCATAAAAATCATAAAATATGAACGATTTTGAAGACGCGACAAAACAGTTATCAATTCCACCGGATTTCGTGCCTTATATGGAAAAACACAGATTATACGAATTCTTTTATGTAATTATATTAGGTCATTTTACTCCACTTAAATATTTGTTTATAGATTTAATTATTTGTTATATTACATTGTGTTGTATGTTGTATATATTTTAGATTACATTAGAATGTTTTATTATATTAAATTATATTATTTATTGCATTATATTATAATATTTAAAAAATTCATAGGAATTAGGAACACAATTACTGATTCAACAACCAGAAGACCCAATAGTATTTATAAAACAAAGTGTCCAACACATTATACAAAAACGAGACATTCCTAGAATTATTCTTATAGCTCCTTCGAACTTCGGTAATACACGTTATTAATTAATTGTAGAGATATGTTCTTATATAACATGATAGTCTACATTAAGAAAAAAATTTATAGTACTTGTGACTATAATTCATCTGATAATTATAGTTACAAAGCAATAATAATAACCATAATTATATGGTAACATATATATAATTATAATTAGAAATATCAAGCAATTTTCTTTTAATATAATATAATATTTTTATTATTTTATATATTTTCAAGTATTTATACTAATAATTATATTTATAAAATTATACAATTATACATTACAATAAAAACCATAATTTTTGTTTTAAGAAGGTTTCTAATAATTGTATTTATGTACGCGTATTATTTTCAAAATAAATATAGAACAGATTATTTTCTCTGTTGGCATAGATAAAATGACTCTTGCAAAAATTCTTCAAAAAGAAACTGGGATTTGTCCTATTACGTTAGAAGATCTTTATGCTTCATCTCCTACTGAAGTATGACATAAAGAAAATATCTACTTCCTAAAAAGTTTTTTTTGCATGAATTTCTTACTTTTGAGTTTAAACCAAACGTTTATTATACATAATATGTATATTTTAGAACACTTGTCATTGTTATAATGCTAATGAAGTCGCAGAGAGAATGAAGAAAATATTAATGTCGGGAATACTTCATGAATCTGGATGGATATTAGTTGGTAATTTTATTTATATAAATTTAATTATATAAAGTTAAATAAAGTAAATCTTTGATTATTATGGAAAATTGCAACATTATTGCAATATAATATAAGTATTATAATTAATATTATAAGAAAAATATATATAATTAAATTTTTTCTTTTTTGTGTAAATAAATAATCTACTATACAGATATACCGAGGAATAAAAAGGAAGCACGTGCAATGCAGCATATCGGTATAATACCAACACACGTGATACAAATTTTGTCATCCAATGTAGAAGACGAGACTCGAAAAAAAAGTATACATACTGGATAAACAATATTATTATATAATTTTGCTCTCCTTTCAAGTTTATCTCCATTTTTGCAAAACACGTTTATTTTGTGTATAAACATAAATTATAACATTATATTAGATTAACGACATTATCAATATTTTTTCCACATCTTATATACTAATACATTTAGATATATACTAATACATTTAGAAAACATAAAATACAAGAGTCAAATAAAAATTAAATTATAAAAATTTATTTTAATTTGTAGATATATATTGAAAGAGTAACATATTAATCTTTATATCGTTGTGATATTAATAGAATTTTGATTTCATTTCTCTCTAATTCATCTTTATCTAAATATTTATTTCTATATAGAAGATGCGAGACAATGCGATTATAGGAGACATCTTCGAGATCTACGTGTCGTTTATGCTAATCTTTTAATTGTTAGTTATTAATCTTTGATTTTATAATAATCATTTATAATAATATAATTATTATTAAATTAACAAATTTTTGTTCATATATTAATATTATGGTATATAATAGGTATTTTAACAAAATATGCACATTTTATTCTGCAATTATTATTCAACACTCATTAATCAATTCTACGTTAAATGTTATTAGCAAGAAATAATTAAAAAATTCTTTTTAGGAGGTTGAAGCTGGTACTAAGACGATTCAAGAGCTAGGCAAAGATTGCGCGGCATTAATGAAAATTAGAAAACACTATGGAGCTCCATCACTCTTTCGCATTGTTCTCATAGGTCCTCGAGGATCAAATCATCTTTCTTTGGCAAAACATTTATCTAAAAGATTTAATCTCGTTCATGGTATTGTATATATATGTATATTGTAGATATGAATTACTTAGTAATATATTAATATTTTTTCTAGAAATTGTACTCGGGATAAGAGACTTGTAGTGTCTTTCAGTTTTTTCAACATGGCCGGAGACACTACCGTGTCTCCTGATACTCATTTTGTTAGGAAGATTTATTACTTACTTCTATCATTATATTTTACAACAATTTTTGTCAATATATTAACCCTGCTTGCACTATACGTCCTTATAACGTGCTAACTCATCACATGTTAGGGCTACGCAGAATAAAAGGAACAGAGAACAATTCAATTCACTTATTTAATGGCACTGAATCCCAGGAACTGGGAAATTATACGGCCAGAACGAAATTTCAAAGAGTAGATTCTATGTTCAAGCGAGTAATCTTACATGCTCTTATAATCAAGCAAACGAAGTTACTCTACCAAGTAATCCTTAAGCGGACGAGTTCATTATACCAAATTGAATTGAAAATATGTGGGGAGCAGGCGGATTCGAACCCGGATCCTCAGATCACGAGTCCGATGCCTAACGTGCGGAGCCACACGACTCCCCAAACAGAGAATAAGAATTTCAACCTATCAGAAATCATATATTGTGGAATAAACAGTGTGTATTCCATAGTAACATACATGATTTCTGATAGGTTGAAATTCTTATTCTCTGTTCTCTGTTCCTTTTATTCTGCGCAGCCCCTTACATCGCAGCGATTTCTCGAAACTTAATAGACACGTCGCTATCACGTAACTAATAGTTAAATTTCTGGTGACAGCAACGTCGCAGTGATAAATATTTGTGACTTTATGCAACGTGTGGAGTACCTATTTGCAACCTAAGAGGCCTATTCTGTAACTCTTAACGACTCTAACAATATCGTTAAATTTTATCATTACGCAGCTATTTTGCGGTATGCAAAACTGCGTAATAATAACGTAACGATATATCGTTGCAGTCATTAAAAGTTACAGAATAGGCCCCTATAAGCCCTGCAGTTTTTCATTATCTGGTTAATCTAGATTAGGTTTAAGGGGTGCTGGAGTGATCAAATTATTTGATATTATATACAGTCGTATAAAAATCTCCGAATTGACTAAACGAAATTAAAAATCCTTTTTACTTGTACACTGTCGTTGTATGTACACTCAACTAACTCAAGCTATTTATCACTAACGGCTAAACATCGTTAAAGGTCTTCCAGAATAAATTTTGCCAATTGTGTATGCATACATATCCAAGTAGCATTACCAAATTAATATACATTATTCTCTATGCACGTCTTTTTGCGATGTGACAGTTAAAAGAAAATAATTCCTTAAAAAATATAACATATTATTTGTCTTCGGAATATGAAACATGATATCACAAAAAATTCAATAATAATAAATTAATTAATTAAAATAATCAAATTATTTGGCATGTTACGTCGAAGCGACGTGCAAGAGACGTTTCATATCGGCGACTTTGCAACTATAATAGCGTTTTTTTTTGGCTACACTATCGCCCACCAGTGCAACACTCAGACAGTGTAACGTGTTTCCTTGGCTAGTGGTAGGTGAACTCATTCAGTGTAACATATTTCCGTGGCTGTAGTGTAGTGTAAATTTTATGCACAAAGTGGGGTTTTGCTACACGATCTCAAAGGGACGGTGTAGAGCCAGTTAAACATTTAAAATTTGAAAATGGAAGTCAACCGGCAGCAGAAGTAAACACAATAGCATGAAGTAGTGTACGGCATGGTGTATGTACATACTAGTGTAGTGTAGCATTGATGCAGCACTTACACGCTATAGTGTAGTGCGAGGTTACACTCAGTGTATCCCAAGAGAAAACGCTATAAGATAGCACGTTTCTTTCACGTATAGTGCAGACAGAGTAATCTTTAGTTAGACAAGTTTGTTCTTAATAATAATATTTTGAAAAAAATATACTACATATTTTTTTACAGTTGAATTTAATAATATCTTGGATAAAGCATGTTTGCGAGAGACGGCTTTAGGTGAAATGCTGCGAATGTGCAACCACAGATGCGCACAGAAAGTAAAATCGGAAACGCGAATACAAATTATTGAGGTGTGATTATAGTTCGCTGAGAGAAACATTAAATTGATTTGACATCGTATTTGCATTATCATTATTTCTAGCGATATGTACTTGGGTCTGATTGTCTCAAGAAAGGATGGATTTTGACAAGTTACCCTAAAACTGTGGAGGAGTTCAAGCTTCTAGATATGATATCTACGCCACCTAATAGGTAAATCTCATAAGAAATAATTTTAAAAATCCCATAATAGTTACGATTTTTGATATTATGTTCGTAGAGTCATCGTCCTCAAAATAGATGTACAAACATGTAGAGAAAGACTCTTAAATCGTCAATGCAATTTTACTACTAAAAGCGAGCATAAATTTTCATCCTGCGAATCTTTGATGACAGATCCTGACTATAAATTAGATGTTTATTCCAATAATTATAAAGACACCATCAAACAAGATGTAACTACCGCACTATATCTTCTAAATTTCTTTATTCAAAGTTTAAATAGGTACTTTATTTTATTATTTATAGTTGGCGAAACGTAAGCAATAAAAATGATAAATTACAAATCTTTTCCGTTAACAGTTAAACTGTATTTTAAATTTTATTTATTTTTTATAGATATAAATTGTATTTATATGTTTTATTCGATTTATTACTTTCGCTGTTATTCGCAAAATATAGCTTCGGGAATACGAAGAAAATATAGATGCCATAATGCAATACGCGGGGAAAACTGTATCCATAATAGATGCGACAGGTGAAAGAAAGTGTGTGAAGGAAAGACTGGAGGCGTGTCTGATGCATGCAACACCATCTGCGAAACCCAGGATTCCTTATCCACCTCCTACAATTGATCCAATGGACATAGAATTCGATCCGAATGACGAACCCGATTTAAGCATCTTCGATGACATACGCGTTCCGGAGCCCAAATATTCTTTCATTTAATATCTCAAATCATATTCTTTGTGTGCAAACATGAATAACAAATAATATTTCAGTTTGTATACAACACAGCTCAGTTCTTCAATCGATATGTAATTTTTTTTAATTTTCTTTTCTCTCTATATTTGTTGTAATAAAATTTGGAAATGTTCCATTTTCTTCGCACTGAAATCTCATTTAAAATTTAAAACTATTTTTTGCTATATTTTGAAAAACACATTTTAATTATTTCTCTTCAACAGAGACGTGTCTAAATTGATCAAAGATCGGTAAACTAAATTTTAATTAAAAAATAAAAATATTATATTATATATGATATAGATTTCTTTATACCATAAAAGTAGAAAATTGGAGACGCTTCTGGAAATCATGCGATCCTGGCATACGAAACATCCCATCTTCACGACGTCACGAAGTCGAACATAGTGCATAAACACTATAATGATAGTTATGACGATGTAACACTATGTAACAATGGAAGCGATGATGTAACACGCTTTAAGTTTCTGCATTGTCACAACAGGGGTGGGTTTCTTCCGATAAAATAAAAACTTAAGATAAAGAATTGAATATTTTTGTATATTAAACATTTAAGTAAATTTCGTAAAGAATACATTAAAATAAAATAATAATCCAAAATTTCATTTATATTTCGATAAATGTCAATACAAATTTTTATCAATTTTTTAACGTTACAGAGTCAAATAGCTTTAAATATTCAAATATTCCATAGCTTGTGGATAAAAAATATTGTCGATTGTGAAGAATACAATTTATAAATCAATGTCATTTATTAAACAATATCAAATCTTATATTTGGACCGTGAGAGTTTCAAACTAAATACCGAGAATAAGCTATTTATGGTCAAGCTAAATCTTGGATACTTCTATTATAATATAATTTTCGTGTGAATTTATTAAACTTAGATCTCTCTCTCTCTCTCTCTCTCTCTCTCTCTCTCT